GACTCTAATCATCCAAAAGAGAATTGAAAACTAAGGTGAAAAAGATTGTAATCACAATCAATATTAAAGAGCGTGGCATGTGGAAGATCTGACTATGAAGATTGTTATGCACAGAAAAAATTCAGTTACTTTTTTCCTTTTTTTGTGAGTGGATGTTTATTTGTATTAGAAAATATCCCCGCTATTGACAGCCTTCGAAAAAATGGATATGAATAAACTTTTATTTTCAAAACTTGTGGCGTAAGATACAAAATGGCTCTTTTTAGCCATTCGCGCGACAGTCAGAGAAAAATTCTTTATGCTCGTAGTTGTCAGTTGGAAGTAACAATCTTGAATCTACCGCTGGTAATCAAAAAATTAAAGTGAAAATACCAGAGAAAAATCAGAATTCGTTCCTTTGTGATGGTTCGTTGTTTCTCTTCTTCTTTTTTTCTTTCTGATCGGCGGATCTTTTAATTATCAGATGTTCCAAACAGAACGAGGTGAACACAAAGGCAAAGAAAGCCTTTTAAATACCCAATTCAATTACTACCTTGTACTAATTTCTATTTCAGAAGTCTCCCATGGTGAGCAGCGGAAATTAATTCGACGTAAATTGCACACACCGACCCGCGCAATATTCAATTATTCAAGCCTATTTAAACCAGCGCGCAAAGATCTTGAGAAACAATAGCAATTTAAGAAAAAACCCACGCAAAGACATGTTTTTCTACTTATGTAACTCTTACCAAACTCATCTGCTATCCATCGCAATGCCGCTTGGTAGAATAAAATGGTTTTTAGTTCTTCTTCCTTTTTTATTCAATTTACCCATGATGTCGTTTTCATTCATTCAAGAGCACACAGAAAATAAAAAAAGAAATTTTCCTCTTGTCAAGGAAATAGTTACTCATGCAAACTGACAAAAAAGGTCAAAAGATTTTTTTAAAACACTCAAAAACCGCTTGACTATCGAACAATTCTAAGGGCGTTGCATCAACAAGTGATTCCTGTCCTCTTATATCAGAATATCGTCGATGCCGATGCTCAATGCGTTCATCAGCGAACTTTGTATGAATTATAAATGATTTCTCATCGCAAAATAAACCTAAGCTCAGCCTCGTTAAAAGTGTCAAATTCTTTTAAAAGTCAATACAGAGTATGGCCAGTTACTTATAACGATCATGAGTGATTACCATTCAGCTAAGCAGTTCAAAAATTAGTTTGTTTGTTCTTTTATGTTTCTTTGCCACTTTCATGACCAGATGTCTGCTCAATCTTTATGGGTCCGGAACAATTTCGCATAGGACATAAATAAATTGTCTTGATTGTTTTGTAGTTCTTGGATATATAAGGCCGACGGAGATGGTTCGTGTGTCTCTAATTTCTCTTTCACATGCAACTTCGCTTGTAACAAGTAGAGAATATCTAGCAGCACTATGCCGTCTGGAAGACTCACATCTTCATTGCTTTGTTGTGTTCTCATATCTTCCGTTCTCGTTTTCTCTGAGGCATTTTTCATCAACAAAGTTGGTAAAAGAGCTACAAACTTAAAGGTAAATATTGAATATGTATATCAGTTTGCTCTTGGAAAATACTCCATCGAAGGATCTGATTTTTTAAGTTTTTTTCTACCGGCATAAATGAGTGTACATCAAAAGTAAGACGTTGAACTAAACTGTTTTTTTTTTTTTTTTTTTTTTTTTTTTTTGTAATACTCAAAATTTTTTGTAGTTAAACTTTAGGTAGTTCCTTGCATCTTCAGTCGCAAACTATAATTCTAACGAGGCTTTTTCAAAGTAGTGGGAAAATTCAAATTTTCCCACTACTGATAGCTAACTACTCGATAAGGACTAATATTTCGATTCTGAGGTAATGACGATTGTTTTGAAAATCGGGAAAAATCCAAGTTCCAAAAGATATATGGTCTGGTAACCACTTATGCAACTTGATCTTTTTTTTATTTCTAGAAATAACAGTTTCAATTTGGCATTAATGAATTATTGCAAAAGTAATCATCTATCTTTTTCCATAAAGATTTTTCATCATTAATTGTTGATGTTCTTCTGTTATTCAAAGCTTCAAAGAACTTTCCATGATGTCTGTCGACTCGCGCGAGAACACTGTGGCGGAATCGACTCTCAGCAGTTGAGGTCACGTGATATGGAAATACACCACGACAATACAGAGGAGAGACAGTTAACAAGAAATGAAGTTTCGCCTTGACTATCTTAGAAAATCACGTGATTGATCTCATGTCAAAGCTTTCGAAGCTGACTTTCTTTACGTAAAGCTTGAATTTCGTGAAGACACCACACGGACGTAACGGAAAGATTATGACACAAGTCGCAGAAGAATAAATGATTCAAGAGGATTTTGTTCGCAGAATATTTTACAGCTATTTGTACTACTTACTGAGTTGTTTTACAGAGTAACAGCTTACTTAATAAATAAAAATTATACAAGAAAAATTCCCAGCAAAAAGGTTCAAATTTTTTGGTTACGTGAGATATTACAGACTAATACAATTGGGTTCCGCGCTTAAAATAAATTGAACTAGGCATCTAGAAAATTCTGACTTCCAGATCATATGGTATGATAAAAGGGCTCCGCTGAGTGTTTAAACCAATTTTGGACGTCATCCATGATCTATAGATCACAAGAAACACGCGGAAAATAGAGCTTAGTTCTTTTAGGCAGTAGACAGCGAAGTAAAACGATTGAAATCACGAACTTACCTGGAAACGCTTAACTTTCGAAAATATGTTCCTGTTTAGGGTACATCTGGGGTCCAAGTTCTCACTTGAAAACATATGCTTAGTTACTAACCCTTCGCTACTTTCAATCCAAAATTAATCTCGTAACACGCGAACATGTTCTCTTGTCTCTTCATTAATTTCCAAAATTGAGCGTCATTTTAGACAAAATAAAGGAAATTCAGATCAGTATCAGTATAGCTCGGCCAAGGACGCTATGTAAAAAGGCCCGTTCATTTTACGATAAAGCACCAATCAAAGTAAAAGTTGCCTGTGCACTGCAAAACCAAATGAGTGCTTAAAGTTTGCAAGTAATATAACAGAAGTACTTTTGCTAAGAAAATCTCCATGTTAAATGACATCCAAGCTAGGTGACATGAGGTGGTTGTCAGATTGTGAAGCCGAATCATTCCTTCCTTGAAAGCGCGTTATCGCCTGTAGTTAGGTCTGGCTCTGAATCTTAAATTAATTGCTGATATATCTGAAATTATCCAAGCTGACTCATCAAAAAAGTTCGTGATTTCAAAAGTTCTATCAAGAATGGGGTAGAATATCTTTAAATGTTGATTACAAAACCGATGGTGTGTGCCTCTTTTAATGAAAGGGAATATTCTTTATTTCTCAGCGTAGGATGGCTGTGAATCAAATTTCAAACATTAGTGAAAGGATCATTTTGAGAAGATGTCTCGATCTTTTAGTTGTACAAACATTTTCCTTTGGAAGGAAGCCTTACGCCCACTTGCAAGCTACTCGTTTGGAAAAAGTTAAACTAAAACAGAGCCGCAAATTGTATTGAGTCCGTTGCAGAAGACTGAAGTTTTTCCGTAATGGCAAAGATGTAGACGCTATGATTCTGACGATTTGTTTAGCCTCATGATCAGAATTCCATGTTAACACTTTTTGCATATAAAAGTTATGCTGATTTCATGCAGATGACTTGGAAATACTTATGATCATTTATTTTTCCTTGAATCTAAAAGCAGCGCCTTTTTTCCATTATAAGATGGCATAGCCCACCTCACGTCAAAGCCTTCGCGTCGAAACGTAAATTTGTTCATTAAAAGCAGCCCCCGAAATCTCGAAGGACAACAAGTTACTGCAGTAAAGTTTTTCGAAAAATTACTCCGGCGTAAAAGGCGGCACCTGTCTACTTTGACACGATATGCCACTTAAACTTCTCAGACTTTCTGCCAGCTGAAGACACTTTAAATTTCATGCGATAACGTTTTCTTCTGTCTCGGGCCGTTTGAAAAAAATCAACTGGAACTATTTCAATTGTCTGTGAACAAGAAAAGATACTTTTTCACTACCTATCTAACTGATTTAAACAGAAAGTTTTCATATAAAACCTTCCTTTGTCGTTGGCGATCATCTGTAGTTGGCGATCATCTGTAAAGCACGATGATTTCGCTTTATTTTAATTCATGAAGCAAGGATAGAATTTACATGAAAGGTGACATTAACAAAGCACGTAGGTGAGCTTTTTAATAAAAGGGGCTTTAACACGACTTGAGTGATGTAATTTCTATAACTTCTTGTTCAAAATGTTACCTCCAAAAAGATAAGATAAACCACGAGCTTTAAATCACCTGCTGTACATTGAGAATGTTACTTTGTCTTTCAGTTAAGAACGCTTTTGGCCATCGATTTTGAATAAGGTTCAAACTCCAATAGTAAATCATTTCCACAGGAAGTCATGCCAATCACATAAAGGTACCTATTAGAGCAGTTGTGTATAGAATCAATCATTGTGTGGGAGTTAAACCTTTTTTCAGCAGACGCTCCCTTTTTCTTTTATTCATTTTTACACATTTGTTGCCGTTCGTTACAGGAATGTAAACGCTCTTTTGAGAATTCCATGCGATAGTAGAGGGTTGGTCATAAAAGAAACAAATATTAACGATCACGAAGCATCGATTCCCTTGTGAAAGCAAAACGTTGACACCCTCCGTGAGAAATTATAAACCCTACCAAGGCATAAGTGACTTGGGAGAGCAGCTGAAGAAACAAGTTAAACGAACACGTGTTTTCACAGCTTTGTTCTAGCAACATGGTGGCACGATAAAACGTCATCTTGGCCAATCAGAGAGCGACAAATGTGACAACTAAGCTTAAGGTAGCAGTGAAGGAAAGTTTGCAGAGTCGTTGAATAGAGGGCTTATATATCAACATGAACTGAACGTGATGCATTCGTATCCGTCCCGTCGTTACAATCTCGCATGCTGAGTCAAAGGTCGATTTTATGAAAAAAAAAAAAAAAAACTTATGGCGAATTTAAGGTTTATCTACATCGTACTTTTCCTTTTCATCCTTTCTTCTTTGATCACCGACGATGAGGCATTTTCCAGCAATAATAGAGTCGGTAAAAGAAAGTTCAAGGTAAATATTTGTTATTTTATATTTCACACGCAAAGAAGTTTGAACGCTTAACGACGCGCGAGTTCTGCTGAAGTCTTATATAATGGAGAAATTAAATGGCTCATCATTAACAAAACATGAAACAATGTCGAACTCTGAAGAAACTAGTCGTAAAGTTTCAAACTCTTTGATCACATTCTATTTTGCCATGAAGCTTCTGTTTTTCAGACTTTTAAAGCTGATCTCAGTTTTCCTTTTTCCTTTTTTTTTTTCTTGTCCCCGTGGATGCCGTGGATCGGCGAAAGTTTGGATTTTTAAAAGATTTTTACAGTAGTTTAAGGCCTTATTTGAACTTTTGTCAGTTTCATTATCTAAAATGCTATTGAAAGACAACATTCAACGATTGCTTATCTCAGTCGTTGACTGAAATTTGAATTTAACAGTAATTTTGCTTTATTAGGGTTTTGTATTATCCTTAGGGTCACATCTCTATCACCTTCCCCAAAAATTAGCTAGCCTCTATATGTCCTAATTTATCGATTTCAGCTTAAGAGAAAACTAAAACTGGCACCAGTTCTCAGAATGATGAGCAAACAGACTACGCGGATGCAAGCAAAAGAAAAAGTAGAAACAAATGCAGACAAGCAAAGGATTCCGAATGGACTAACATGCCCAGAGAAACAATAACAAACCACTGACATTGAAAAAAGTTGGCGTTTATTTTGAAGCTAGAAACTGCGGTTAAAAATTTTCAATCAAATGTTTTACGATCCGAGGATATTATTACATGGTCGTGCAATGATACAGTTCAGAGAACTAAAAATATTGTTAACACGAGGAAGGAGATAAAAATTGCAATCCATAAGTGGATATGAAACAAATGATGATCAAGTATTAATGAAATGTTTAATAAAAAATTATTTTAAACGCTAATTAAGAGCACTGAGTGCAGTAAAGAAATTACAGGTCAACTTGAAATAAACCGTAATCTGGCGATATCGAAATTTTTGTCAACACTTTTTTTCCTTTTTCGAAAAAGGTCAAATCAAATTTCAATAATGTTGGTATAAAAAGGAAAATAAACCTTGATAAAATTGGAAAATGCTGCCTTGATGTCCCCTTGTTACCATGGCGATATTGCTGTCAAAATGTGACCTCAGAGAGGCAGGTTTCTTTTGTAACAGCCATCCTTACGAAGTTTATCTAGTCTTCGAACTCCTGTGATCAGCACATAAATCAAGTTGCACGGGCAAGTTGCCAACCAAATCAATGAGTACAGTAGGTTTAGTGGTCTTGAAAATTAGACTACTGGATCTACCAGCTCAATGGATAGAAAATCAGAAAAGATGAGTCGATGTTATACCTGATTGAAAACCAGTTAGAAATTTTAATTGCGCGTGTTTCAATTACGTAGCAATTCAATACTCAGGAAAACTACTCTATATCTGTATTTGACACTTAATAATAGATCGATTGATGTACTGTTAATTAAGATACCCTTGTGAGACAAAAAGCTTATTGAGGTGAAGAATCACTTAGCACGTTCGAATGAGTTCTAGTAGCTTTCCTTGCTATCATGTGCAAAACAATATCTTGGATAAAAAGCAGGTTTTTCTAATTTCTATTTGGAATCGAAGACTGTCTTTTCACACTAATCTGGAGAAAGTTCTGGCTCAAGTCCGAAAACCACGAATGAATCTAGGCAATATAGGGAGGTTCTGTGAATGATAAATCAGTTCCATGTTGTTCGGCGTCGTATTTGACGTTGCAAACAAAAAAGTTTGCCCACCCTTCCGTTTGTTGATCATATCATCAGAACATATCCTCATGAAACGGAAATTTATTTGCTTCCAAAATTTTGACGCCACAGCTAAGACAATGACATTCGCGAAATTTGCAAAACAATTTTACGATTCCAGTGCAAACAAACTCACAAAAACACTGCAAGCCTGCTTCCGAGGCAATTTCATCACTTTTTAGAACAGAGGAACTGTTGGAGGATGTTTGACCCAATTTATTGGTTTATTTTCGAATTACTCGGTACAGGGTTACATTTGCACCGATCAGGAAATTACGTTTTAAATGAAAAAATCACAACTTCAAAGAAAGAAATTTGCTTTATCGGTCTTAAAAATAAAATATAAGATCAACAGGGCCAAACTGTTAAAAAACACCAACGTTATTATAACTCTAAATTTTTGCTATCAGATAGTCATTCGTATTTATAACATTTCTCCGTCAGTGTTACAAATGTGATTATTTCTGTTTTATTAAATTGATTTCCGAGCTCCTAATTGCTGAGTATGGTGACATCTCGCGAAACAGCTTCATAAAGTCGACCAAGTGCCATGGTAATGATTGTAACTTGGATTGAAGTTCTATCTCAAAAGATATTTACAAAGATATCGATTTAAAGTCATTCAGGAAGATTAAATGCCAATCTTCAGGTTGTTTTTGTCTTTTTTTCCGGTGGAGAGCCTCAGTTTTGAAAGTAGAATCATAATCAGGCAAGGTTTATTAACGTAAATGAAATAAAATGAAACTAATTTGCTTTATTCGAACGATCAGATAGAGCCGTTACGGTTTTACCTAAAAACTACAGTCTTTTCAAACTGAAAGAAATTTATTTTAGCATTAGTTTGATCTAAAAGAAATAATTGAAATCATGAAATATAGCCATCATCAAATTAGTTTTGGCCTCATGTTCAATATTATCTCCAACAAAATTTCACTGAGTTTTCTGAGCTGCTGTTGACACAAATTTATCTTAAGATTAATAAATTTTCAAATGTCAATAAAAAATATCGATAATGTATTCTTTTGTTTGTCGCACGTAAGGAACACCTTTCATCAAGGCTTGAAATTATATTTTTTTTTCCTTACTCTCTTCTCGAAAAGAAGCGGAAATTGAGTGATATTATCAAATCTGAAAAATAAATAAATCCAGAAGCGTTTTTCTACTGACGTAATGAAAGATTACATGACGTTACTTAGAGAAAATATCAGCATCAGCATCAGCGTTTTAACACTTCGTCTTTAAAGCAACTTTTTTATTTTTCTGAAAGCGGCCGGCATATTAGCATTTTTGATGATTGTGAACAAAAGATTGAAGGAACCGCATACAGTAATTGAGGAGCCTCGTCCAGCACAGAGACAAAAAATTGATCAAATAACAATTAGTTTTTTGGTTTTATGCTTCAAGAATGAGTGACGTTTAAATGTGTAAGACAGGGAACTCGAACATCAGCTGGGAAGCCGAAAAAGGAATATAACATCGATCCACTTCTCACCTCGTATCAGCTCGGATCGCTACCTATACAATTATCAGCTACACAGCAAAAAATAATATATTTTTATTGATTATTTTATCAGCGACAGCCTTACTCAAACAAACACTGCAAATATATTCACACGACAGCCTGACTGCCGCAAGATGTCGATTGATTCAGCTCTCACCACCTCCTTCATGGTGTTCGTATCTGTTGTAGGAACCGCTGGAAATTTATTGGTCATTGTCGCCATTCTTTACAAGCGAAGGCTAAGAACAATTCCCAATTATTTTATCTTTGATTTGGCTGTATGTGACTTGCTGACAGTCTCCCTGGCTGTTCCTTTACGTCTTGTAGAAGCGTTTCAGCCGGGCCTCATTCCTTGTGGTGTTGTCATAGCAGTGAATATTCTCTTCGATGGATTATCAAGGATAAACATCGTTTTTATCAGCATTGACAGACTTACAGCTGTGAAATTTCCTTTCAAATACAATTTGTACATGACAAACAGAGCTGTTGCTGTTTTTGTGGCAAGTGGATGGACTATCGTGACACTTTTTGCAATTTTACCGATTGTGGGCGTCGGCTCAGCTCCCGAAGAAGTCCTTCGCCACAATCATGGTTTATGCTTCTTCTCAACAAATTTATCCACTTCGTATTTGCTAACGTTTCTGATTGGTTTCTGTTTGTTGCCGTTGATATTGGCTACATCAATCAACTGCTTTCTTCTCAAAGCCAGCCACAGGCAATTGCGGGTCATTCACGTACAACAAGTGCAGGTGGAAAATAGTGTTAACACTTACTACCGTAATGTCAGCGCAATGTTATTCAGCGGCAGAAATCAACCGGCAAGTACAGGGCAGTACAACAGGACATTCGCCCTTAAACAAAAGCGAGTTGCAAGGATGGTCATAATTTTGGTGGGGTTTTTTATAGTCCTTGTTCTGCCTATCACAATAATTGATCTTGTCGGAGCATTTGGAGTATCTAAAGTGCCGCCTGCAGTCACTAAAATTGCTGTTTGTATGATATACACAAACGCAATGATAAACGTTTTTGTTTACGCGGGCTTTAACGGAGAGTTTCAAAGAACTTTTGTTGAGATGTTTCAAGCGGGTAAGGCAAAATTCCGTGCTCTAGTATCTCTCTAGTGATTGAAATAAATATCTATTGTCGTTTTTACGACCAGCTAAAGATAAGGATATTCGAGCCTAAAAGTACCGATTCTTAAACTGAACAGTTCATTCAAGGATTTTTCTACTTTTAGATCTGATTTTCAGCCAAAAACCATATTTTCATTCTTATTGGTGTTTTCGTTCCTTTGAAAGTTGTTTTACTTCAACTAAGACCGCAAAAAGAGCAGCTTGGCTAACTATAGAAAAAGTTAATAATGTAAATGAATGCATAATTGTACGAGTTCTTCAAACCTCCAATTTACGCCTCCGTGCGCGCACGAAACTGGATCAAGTTTAGTCATGAATACATGGGCAGTAAACATATATACACAAGTTAAAATTCACCTCAATCGCATAAACTGAACCCCTGATATGATCAGTCTTTTTTATCAAGTTTTAATTCCGATGGAGATCGTTTAAGACAGTCTTGAATGAAAAATTGACTCTCCGCATTAAATTATGTGACGATGATGGAGGTGTACATTTTTCTAATAGTTTTGTTTGCTTTCTGTTGATTTTCAAGCAGCCTTGACCGAGAGTAAATTTAATTTCAAATTTTCTATTGAGGTTCTGGAAGCCCTTTAAAGTAGAATAAATATATTGTCGCATTGTCTAAGTTGGAAATTCAAATTCTTTTTTTTTTTTTTTTTTTGATGACCAGATTTTGTTTGCAAATATCCAGCAGTGTAACATTTATATAGGGCTGCAAAAGAAGGGAAATATCATATCAAAACACAAATTAACTTAAAGAAATACGATTTCTTAATTACTTCAATGAAGAAAAACTGAACCAATGATTAAATTGTAATGACAAGTATTTGAACTTTTATCCTGTTATGTAGATTTGATAAATTTAACTCAATTTCCGTTTTCATTTAATAACGTTGACAATTTGATTTCCAAACAAATTATGGGGATGTAATCTGTGTCGCAGCACACTTATTATAACATAATGTAATTATCAAACGGGAATGATAATGCATTTGATGAACCGCATGAAGACTCTTGATTTTTCATATTGATTTTATCTGTCTCTTCAAAGCTTGATTAAAAATTCAGTATATCTCATACACTGCATGAAAAAGTAACACATGTTGTGCTTCCTTTGATTTTTCAAAGCATTCGTCAGAGGGGCAGGCCATTTGTCAAGGTTACAGAGAAGCAATTTACATTTTAGAAGTCGATTCTGAGTTTGAGCTTTTCCGCTGAGAGATCATCTACTGCAGTGATTTCGCGATTCACACATCTTTTTTCTTCAATATCAATTATTTAACCGAGAGAGGATTTTAAATTAACTTGATTTAACGAAAATCTCTAACGATTATTCAACTGTTACTACTATCCTATTCAACATTCGCTCTGACGAAGGGCTAATGCTCAAAACGCCAGCTTTAGAAACTCTTTACGGTGGCCAATTTACATTATCAACTGAGTTCCTAAAACCAAATTATCTTTTCTGAAAGACCAATAAGGGCTTAAGAGGGCAGGAAAGACTGGGTCGGTAGAATAGAATTTCCTATTACTTAAAATAAAAACAAAAGGAAAGAGAGGGATTGCGGAAATCAGAGGATAGAGCTTTGAAAAATTATGGCGTCGACAGGGAGAAGAAGAGATGAGGGCGGAAGAGGAGCGAAAGCAAAAACTGCGACAATGATAGCGCCAAGATAATTAAATCCACAACTTAAAGCTCTCATCTCTTCATGGAGATCTGAGAATACGAGTCCGCTGACAAATGTCAATTCTAATACCTCTATCAGTCTTGTAGTCTCTTGGTGGTCTGCCTAAAAAGTCCTCTCGGCTAATTTTAATTTGCATTCAAAATGGAACCTTTGCTCGCACTTATTGCAATCCAAAGAAATAACAGTTCCCTCAAAATCATTTCGGAAAGTTCATAGTGGGAGACGAGGAAGTTGGAGGCTTAGAAGTCGAAAGTTATGAATTAAGATCCCGAAGTCGGTAGTCAGAAAATTATATGTCAATGGTTCGAAGTACACTCCAAACTCCGAACTCCGAAATCGAATGTCTGAAGTCGTAAATTGAAAATCCGAAGCCGGAAGTCAGAAAATTTTACGTCAATGGTCGGATGTAAAACTCCGAACCCGAAATCGAATGTCCAAAATTAAGTCGTAGATTAAAAATTCGAAGCCGGAAATCAAGAAATTGAAAGTCGATAGCCGGAAGTAAAAATCAGATGTCTGAGAACCAAAGTTAAAAATCAGAGGTCGGAGGAATCGTTGAAGCATTAATTTTCTGGGCGGTAACGAAACAAGTGACAATTGTTTCCATTGAGCCTTTATAGCAAACTAATGATAAAGGGAACATCAGGTCTTGAAACCCACAGCAAAGTCAATAAGAGTCTATTTATAAAGGTAAGCAAAAATGTGAAGTATTTCAGGTGTATGTCGAGGTTCAGTATGACGTTTTTTTGTTTTTTTTTTAATTATTTTTTGTTTTTTGTGGTTTACGGGTTTGTTTGTTTGTTTGTTTTTTCATTATTTATTTTTAATTTATTTTCATAGTTACCTTTTTATTTTAAATTGTTCCTTTCTTTATTTTTCAAGTCAAACTTCTATACCCTTTTTCCTTGAATAAGCGCCCAAGCGCGTATTTAAAATTTCAGCTTAAAAGGAGGGCACTTATTCGCAGGAGAGCGCATATTAAGTTAGCGCAGCAATAGGAAAAAAATTAAAAGGACAGATGACGCAAATGTATGGAACTCTGCTCGAAAATGGAGACAGAAATTATTGGAAGAGACTTAACGGAAAAGAAACTACTCTCCTGCACTGGTTCCGCTGTAGTCGAGGCTTAACGAATTACGAATAAAGTAGCAATGGAAACAGGTTTTCCACGTATCCCTACTATTTAAGATCGTGAGGGAGGAAAGGGAGAGGTACTTATTCGATGGGGCGCTTTATTGACATAATGGCCTAGGGAATGAGCGCTCATTCGGAGGGGGGGCGCTTGTTGGAGCGAGGGCGCTTATTCGAGGAAATACGTTATTTCATTACTGATCATTTTATTTTTTGACGCTCGTATAATACGTATTAAGGCACTGAAACTTTAAAACTGCTTCTTTTTATGATGATCAGATCATGCATAGACACTGCAACGCTTACACCGCTTCCCTTATGATAAAAACACGATGAATAGACACCGCAACTTTAAAACTGCTTCCTTGTTGACAACCACATGATGCTCAGACACCGCAACTTTTAATCTGCTTCCCTGTTGACAACCACATGATACACAGACACAAAAACTTAAAAACTGCTCCCTCGTTGACAACCATATGATGCACAGACACCGCAACTTTTAAACGGCTTCCTTGTTGACAAACACACGAAGCATAGAAACCGCAACTTTTGAACTGCCACCTTGTTGACAAACACATGATGCGTTGACACCGCAACTTTTAAGCTGCTTCTTTGTTGACAAACACGTGATGCGCTGACACCGCAATTTTTAAACTGTTTCCTTGTTGAAAAACACATAATACATAGACACCAGAACTTTCAAACTGTTTCCTTAAAATGCTTTTCCTATAAAAGTTCGAAAGTAGAAGGTGGTTTCTTAAGCCAAACCTTACAAAGGAAACGGAGCAAATGTCTCATGTCACAGTTGCAGTCATTATAACCAATGCAAAGGGTGATATTTAGTTACAGCTAATATTTTCATTATATAACCGCCAATACGTGTATATTAAATATTGTACAGTTTATACAAACTTCATGAAGAATCAGTTTATCTCATTCCATTCTTACCTGAACAGCTAAGCAGCACTCTTTGCATGTAGAGTTCTGTTGATCGGTTTCCTCCAATTTTGCCTTGAATACCACTGATTTGAGCAGGTACTTGATTCCAATAATACTAAAATAAAACCCATACAGCCATTTGATAACAAATACGCACAAAGCAAACATTATACAATATACATTCACTGTAGAGTCCTGATGTTTCCCGAGACGAAGTCGAGGGAAACGTCAGGATTCGAGGGAACACAAAACTAACTAGTAATATATTCTCACCAGGGCTACCCACAAACAAAGCCTCAAGGATGTTATAAGATATGGGAAAGGCCAGCCCGAGGCGGAAGTGAGTAGGTAGCTACCTGGAGCGTAGGCGCTATCATCGCTGCGGGGAGGAGGGAGGGGCGCACTTAGCTAAACCTCCTGAAACGCCGTGGAAAGGACTTTTGAGGTTATAAAGGACTGACCGCACCGGAATAAGATTATATAGCCAAAAAACGTGTAAAAGATTGCATAACCATTCTCATGCTAAAATCCCAGGGGTTTGGAGTCACGTAACATGCTGAAATTCACCATTGTTCGAAGGGATCCCTGGTGAGAATAGTTTCCCGAGGGACCATACATTAAGTGCTTTGCTATATATTTAGACTATCCCTTAAATAATCATAGGGAAAAAACGTGCTGTTGTATTCGGTGCGCGGACAACAACTGCGCAATTGTATCCCGGTCGGGACACATGACCAAGAATCAACCAATCACAGTGCTCGTTTTGTTGAGTGAAAGTCTAGGTATATAACAATGCTAATTACGTGATAAGAACAATAACTGCACCAGTTTCATACATCTCAGCTGGCAGATAAAGTACCTGAGAACAAAATCGGTAGATCTGAGGTTTAACTCCCTCTTCAACTCCCTATATTTCTGTTAAAAATAGCATGCATACATGGGTTTCTTTGGTTAAATTTGATTCATTTGTTTCGATGTGATTTTTGTTTTCATTTTTTTTTACGTTTAATATTCGGCTTAAGATGATTTTGATTTAATCTTTCTTATTTTCTATAGATATACATTTCATAATTGTCGCTGAAACATACTTGTAGTTCTCAGCCAGTGTATATTCAAAATTCCAATTGCGCCTTATATCTTTACTTAAAGTTAATGTGTTTAGTGACTGAAACAGCTCAAACGTACTTAACGAATCGTCGATAACTCTAATTTATTTCTTACCTA